CTGTTCCGTTCATCTGTATTTGTTTGCTGGTACCACATTGTCTTGAATATATAGAGCTTTTTGATGACCATGTCTCACCCCCTCTGACTAAGTAGCTCTGTGAAAGTGTGAAACTGCTCTGTGCAATCTGGGTGTATGAAACACCTGGCCAAGCTCCTCGGGGTGCTGGGAGTTCCAGGTTGGGGTCATGTGACGGTTGGCATTTTGTGCACGATCATCATCGTCCACCATGAGTGCCGGGGTGGGGTAATGTGCATCACCACATTTAGGGCCTCCGTGAGACCATGTAGTGCGGGCCCTGCTGAGGGAACAGGTCTCAGAAGGGCCAGTGACTGGTGCAATTGATGTTGTGTTCTACTGCAAATACAGACAGCACCAAGTGTAGCTGAGTTGAATTAAACTGGGCAGTGTACCTGACAATACTTTTTTCTTGTCACTTTATTTTTTGATGGTCTATCTCAGAAGGAAAGAGACAGGAAACGAGTTATTCACTGGTTCACTCCCCAAATGCCTGCAACAGCCAGGACTGTGCCAAGTCAAAGCCAAGAGCCAGGAACTCCCTCTAAGTCTTTGACTTGGGGAGCAGGGGCCCAAGAACTCGAGTCATTTCCCACTGCTTCCCCAGGTGCATTCACAGGGAGCTGGATCGTAGGTGGAGCAGCTGGGGCTTGAACCTGTACTTGTATGGGATGCTGGCATCACAGGCAGGTGGCAGCTTAACACACTGCCGCAACACCAGCCTCTAGTCACTGTTTAAATAAATCATTCATTGAGACCATCATCAGTGGTATGTAGAAAAAATCATTGATTTTGGTACATAAGAGTACATTTCAATTCTTTTTTAATATCCCAGCTCCACTGAAGCCAAGTAGAATCAGGTAGTGATTTTTAAAAATACTAGTTTTCTTTATTAATTTAGCCATTTTTTTAGAAGGGTGATGTTTTAATGTCTGGTTGCTTGTTCCTTTTATTTTCTGAGGAGACATGCAAAGGTCAGCTCTTCCTGGTGGAGCTGCGAGGCTGGCGGCTAAACAGGCTGAGCTCTGCGCCAGCTCCAGTGTGCCTGGCTCTCCTGTGGGGTACAGGCATCCAGGCCAACAAGAAACAGCCCTGAGTTGTGAACCCCAATTAGAGAGTCTCTGAGCTTGCTTCTTGCCCTGACAAATAGGAAGTTGCCGTGTGCCTGTGGACTGCTGCCTGCTGTTAGAGCGAGTGGGGCACAAATGCCACATTCGCTCCATCTGCAAGTGTTGTCACCAGTTATTCAGAGCGCTTAGCACTGGACCAACCAGAGCGTGCCTCCCTCTCGGCTCCAGCACGTTTTCCTGCCCATCAGATGGATGCTCCTCTGCTGGAGTCTTTGGAAGGTTCTGGTGTCTTTTGTTTTAATTGGCGGGCTACAGCCGACTCCTATGGTGTGATTTTCATTAGAGAGGGGCTGGAGAGAGGGGGTGTTGGAACCGTCCTCCAAGCCCAACCATGAATATTAAACATAATACAATTACAGCTTTCGGACCAATTATTTTTCTATTCAGTGGGCAGAGTGGATGAAATACTCGCTAGCTGGAGTCACAGTATCCTCCCTTGGCTTTCTGTGTCCCTGGACCCGGCTGTCTTGGCATCCTTTGGTGCCCATGTGCCGTGCTACCCGATTCCCAGTGCCGGGTATGAGTGCCGTGTGGGCAGCCTTTGCCAAGGTGTACATTTCAGGTTGTCGTTTGCATTGTCACGTTCGCGGCCGATACCTGTTTGTTAACGTGAATTCTGTGTGCACAGCGGGTTGAGCGCAGTGCAGTGTTGGCCGTTCCTGTCGGTCAGTGAGAAGTCAGGAGCCGCCAGCGAAGCACTTCCTTTTTCACTGCGGAAGGAAGCTCAAGGCTGGTTGAGCCCATCTCTCATTTCCATAGTGACATAAATACCCTAGCGCTGCACTTCCGATGTATTTGTTTATTTTGTTTGGAGCCATCCATGCAAGTATCTAAATACAATTGGAAAACAGATGGCAAACTTTGAACTTCTGGACCAAATTTGTGTTTTCCTTTGTCTCTTTAACAGCCAAACTGTAAATTGTGGAGTATAAATATTCAACAGAGGAGTGCTTTATGGAAATCACCATGGCAAAATAACCCTTATTAACCAAATATGCCCCGAGAAGTGCTTGGGCAAAAATCGGTTCTCACCCGAGCCTGGACACTAAGCTCCCATGCAGCCTGTGTGCCTCTGTCTCGTGGACAGCGCCTGCACATGCCAGCAGGGTGAGAGCTTTGTTCCCACCACACACCCTCTGTGCCCTCCAGTCCCGGCCCCCTTCCTGGAGGTCGCCGTGTACCCAGAGCAGCCCTGAGCCCTCCTCTCAGGGCAGCACGCTAAGGCGCTTCCAGGACCCAGCCGGGACTTAGTGGAGCTGGCCTGAGTTCCAACACATTTAGTGACCCAAGGAATGGATGCTTATCTTCAGTTTGTAAAGTCAAGTGTCCTGATGGGGTGCGGATACAGCTTGAGGTTTCCCAGCACTGCAGAGGGCTCTGGTGCTCCCCGATGTGTGCACACACACTCGCCAGAGTCCTTGGTTAGAAGTAAAAGGCGCTGTGTGGCCCTCCTTCTGTGCTCGTCCCCTTCCAGGTAACCCTCCTCTCACCTGGACTGAATCTTTGTATCACTTCTTTGAAACTTTCCATGTTAAGCAGGTCCTGTGTGCTTTGAAAGCAAAAGCAGGGGTGAGGGAGAGTGAATCCTTTGTGCCCCTCTCTTCCTGGGGGACAGTGCCCCCCGCTGGGTGTGGCATGTGCAGCACTACCTATTGGCACAGGTGGCCTTGCTTGCTCTTTTGGACCCTGGTAAGTAGATGGCCCACACCTGCCTGGTCTGTGACGTGGACGACCTGCCGTCACACCCACGAACCTGGAGGTCTTTGGGCTCCTGTCGCAGCTTGCAGCTCGGGATGGGGTGTCTCGTTTTCTCAGTCTAACAGCATTCCTTCGTAGCTACTGTCTTCCCTCATGCTGCTCCTAAGTCCTCTTCATAGCTTCCCAGTTTTTGCTATTTATATATTTGAGAGGTTAGCACTCACTGAGCCTAATTATGTACAAGAGTCTTTTTATTATTATTTGAAAGGTAGAGTTACAGAGAGGGAGTTTGAAATTTTACATCTGGTTCACTTCTCAGGTGACTGTGTGACCAGGCTGGGCCAGACTGAAGCCAAGAACTTCCTCCAATTCTCCAGCATGGCCCAAGCATGTAGGCTGTCTTATGCTTCCTTCCCAGGCACATCAGCAGGGAGCTAGATTGGAAGTGGAGCGGCCGGGACTGGAACTGGTACCTGTATGGGATGCTGGCATTGCAGGCAGTGGTCATAACCCCGGTTTCATTAGTTCTAGGGAGACATCAGCTTTAGCTCCTGCAGGGCCTTCACTACCGTATGCTGTTCTTGTGGAGCTTCTGTTGGATGCACACTAACCTGTCTGTCCCCTTTCAAGCCTTCGTGTCTAAAACAAAAAATAGGAGTTCCTTCCATCTTGGGAGTTCTGTTTCAGGGACTGCATTTTCATGGGTAGAATGGCAGTTTTTCAAGCATGAGTGTTGATACCCTCTTCCCCTCACTGGCTGGGCCCAAGTCTTAGAGCCCTGCCCATGCATGGTGTTCAGGTCCAGACCTCCTGGCTCCTGCCACCACCCCCAGGCACTGCGGGTGCAGCTCAGGCTGCCTGTGCAGTCTGTCTGTCTGGGCCTCGAGGAAGCAGCTTGCTTGGGGAGGGCAGCAGTGTTCAGGACGCCACCGTGTCTGCGCTGTGGCTGATTTGCAGTGGAATGGCAGCACTTGGCTGCAGCAGAAGCCCCCCTCGCGCTGCTCCCCACACTCATGTAACAGCCTGCTCTGTGTTGTCCCCCTCTGCACGTGCTGACGGCTCCTAGATGCGCTTCTGAAAGTGGAATTGCTGGGTCAGAGTGGAGCATAACTACTACTTCGTTGGAGATTGTCAGATCACTCCCCAGAGAGGTTTGTGCGTGTCTGCCCCCACACTGCACATGGACTTTGTTGGAAGACTGAGGAAGCAGAGCTGCATGCCACATCACTGCTAATCTGCAACATCGCACACCTTTCTTAAAAATCATTAGTATTCTTTATGAATTGTTTCTTAATGTGGTTTATTGGTCTTTACTCCTAATTGGAAGGGGTTTACTGTGGGAAATGAGCCCCGTGGCACTCATTCTTAACTTTGGATTTTCTCCTGTAGAGTTAGCACTTTCTTCATTTTGCCTTGAAAGGCCTTCCCTGTGGTTTAACTTTTAAATCCCTCTTCAATTTAGTGTAATGTAAGTGGTAGAGTTCTGAGAAAATTATCATGCTTTGCATTTAATTGTTATGTAGATAGATAGAATCCCCCCTCCAGAAACCTGCCATGGGGTGGGTTTTCTCTTGCAGCAGGTTGCCAGGCTCCGTGCCAGGGCCCAGCGGCGTCTCGGGTCCCACTTACAGGTAGCATGGTTGGGGCTCTCTGCTTGCCTTGCTGTTGCCTGCGCTCTGCAGGGTCAGGCCTGAGGAACGGGCTTCTGAGAGGAGTGAGCAGGCGCTCCTCCCCCGGCCAGGGAGCAGGTAGGAGCTCTGCCCGACCGTGCTTCTGCTGCACCTGAAGACAAAGCAAGGGAGAACAACCTGGGCGAGTGACTCGGATTCTCTTTCTCCTGGGCATCAATTTTCGTAAAACATATCATATTTGGACCTTTAAAAAATTGACTCAAAAACCTGTATAGATTATAATGACTAAGGAGCAAAGTCGGTTCTCCAGTCAGGTGTGTGCAAGCGTTTTGTAACTTGCACCATTGTTCTGAAGTGCTTGCCCTAAAAAGCACCTGTTCTTGCACTAAAGCTGGGCCCTCTTTCATCACAGCAGCATGCACTGAGTGTGGCCTTGGGGTCCCTGGAAAGCCGCTCTTGTCACTGGGTGAGTCTCGGGCGCAGTCTCCCTGTACTAAGTTTGTGGCTAATGTTGGCTCTTCAGTCTTTCTCATGTTTTGCTCCATTGCTTGCTTTCCGAGAATATCTAAAATAACTCAAAGTGAACTACCTGTATTCTTTCATCTTCACAATGCCTTCAACTTGGCAGGAACTCATGCAGGGTATGTGCGTACTCACGTGACTGGAGTCCAAGGCCACAGGCAGGGTTCAGGTCAGCTGTGTCCGCACATGGTACTGCTGGTCACCACACTCGCTGTTCTCTCCGTTTGGATTAGGGGTGTGTACACCATTCCTTTCCTTAAATGTTGCTGCATTTCAGCTTCAGCTCTTATGTCTTGTTCAGAGAGCTGTGTGTACGTACTGGTGGTTGTAGCAGGGAAGAATTCTGCCCTATCTGATCATGAAAATTCAGCATGTACTCGCATAAGAAGTCTGGAAAGAAAATGCTCAGTGATTACAAGGCAAGTAATTATGTCATGGCTTCGATAAGGGACTGCACAGTGGCCACACTTAACTATGAAGGTATTTCCTTTCTAAATTCTAACAGACCATGATGACTTTGTAACTTTCGTTTCCTAGCCAGGTAGGAGTTTGACTTCTTCCGCCTGGCTGCAGCCCAATCAGCTGCACCTCACAGCATTGTATCGCATAATTACTTGTCTTGTAATCATCTAATGTTAAGAACTTCTGCCCGGGAGGCGGGCAGCTGAGTCCCTGGGCCGGGTGTGGAGGAGCCCCCAGGAGTGTGCAGGTGAGAGGCAGGCCTAGCAGCCATGTGCAGGGTTGCGAAAGCTCGGCGTTTGATAGCGGTCCTTCCCATGGCTCTTCTGTTGCCTGCAGGGTGAGGATCCACGACCTCCGCATGGATAAGATCGCACTGTCGCTCTCCGCCCACCAGCTTGGGGTCTCCGCGGTGCAGATGGACGACTGGAAAATCGTCAGCGGAGGCGAGGAAGGCCTGGTCTCCGTGTGGGATTATCGCATGAACCAGAAGCTGTGGGAGGTACATTCCAGGTGAGGCGGTTCCTCCGTGCTTGCAGGAGGGCACGGGCAGCCAGGGTGGGCGTTGTGCTGAGCACCCCCATGCCCCTCCCATCACCCCAGGAGCAGGGAAGCTGCTGTCCTGACTTCAAGGTGTGGACACAGCCACCAGAAGGCTGCCTGCTCAGCCCTGCCTGCTGCATTAGGAAACAAATGAAGGTCTCACACATGCCATCTTAAACAGTGGCATCCCAAAACCCATGTGGACGCCCCTCCCACTGGCTAGCAGGGCCTAGGCCTCAAAGTCTTCCTGTGCCAATGCAGGAGGAAGTTACACTTGAAGCTTTGGCACTGATATTCTAGAAACGGGGCTTGTCCCCAGCACAGGCCAAAGCTTGTAGGAATGCTGGACTAGCGGGCCTGCGTGGGTAGAAACCATCAATGGGAGCCTGCTTGTGCCTAATTTTTAAGACTTACTTATTTGAAAGGCAGGGTGACAAATCTTACATCCATTAGGTCACTCCTCTACAGTGTCAGAACCGGGCCAAGCTGGAGCCAGACATGCCCTCTGATCTCCCGTGTGAGGGTTAAGACCCAAGCCCTGAGCCATCACCCTCTGCCTTACCAGGCACATTAGCAACAAGAAACTGCAATTAGGATGCCGCCATCCCCTGGTAAACACGCTGTGGCACCATGCCAGCCCATGCTCCGTTGCTGGAGCTGGGATCCTCTGATCTCACCAACTGTGTGGCTGGCCCCAGTGTCTCTCCCTTAGAGACAAGTGGAAACAGCAGACCTGCGCCCAGCACTTCTAAAGCAGCCTTTCTGGGGTCAGCAGACATGAGGATAGTCCAGAAGGATGGGGCTCCCATGTGGAGGCCTCAGCTGCCAGGCAAGGTAAAGAGCCAGACCCAGGAGGCAGCAAGGTGGCCTGGAGAACGGGCCGCTCAGGGGGCGCAGGTTTGAGTCCCCGCTGTTCTGCTCAGGAAGACAGCAGAGGAGACCTGGAGGAAGCTCCTGGCTGCTGTCTTTGAATTAGCTCCAATGCTGCTGGCCACTTGGGAAATGAGCCAGAGCCTTGAAGTACCCCTTCCCTCTTGCTCTGCCTTTCAAATAAGTAAATAGTTTTTAATAATCTGTTTTTTACCTGCAGGCCAGTTAAGATGTGTGCCGCTCCTGCAGCAGGCCCTGAGCAGCGTCCATTTCCACCGTCCCTGTAAACAAGCGGTTAGGCACTGATTTGCCACCAGGTGGTGCCAAATCCAGCTGAACTCCATACTGGAGTCTCCTGTTTGCTTTTAGGAGGGGAGATCTTAGTGCAGGGATCCCATCCTCCAGGTCCCTAGGGAGACAGCTCTGCAGCAGAGCTCCTTGTTTGTCTGCCTGCAACACTGCACTCCTTCAGTTGGGCCATTCAGTTGCTCCCCACCCCATGGGATGGTCTTTGTGTAGTCTTTGCACCTGCATAGCCCCAACTTAGTTCCCCCCAAGGTCAGAATTTTCACTGGCACCAGGCGATGCCACCCTCCCTGCTGCCTCAGACTAGGCTTGGTCCTAGCAGCATGTGTGGCCCACTCAGGCTGCCCCGAGACTCCTCTCCACTCAGTATTTACTCTTCGGCGTCCCTTGCTGCCACACAGAGAGCTCTTCCTTGCCTTGTGCCATGGCTGTGGCGGCAGGGACACGGAGAGATCCTCCAGCCACTCGTTCACTCCCCAAATGACTGCAACAGCCAGAGCTGGACTGATCCGAAGCCAGGAGCCTTTTCTGGGTCTCCCATGTGGGTACACAGTTCTAAGGAGTTAGGCCAACCTCTGCTGCTCTCCCAGTTCATAAGCAGGGAGTTGGACCACACAGAACTTGAACTGGTATCCACGGGGGAATGCCAGTGCTGCAAACAGGACTGGCCAGCTCCACATCTGGCCTTCTGAACCCGTGAGGGAAGGCCTCTGAGGGCAGGTGGCACAGTTTCAGCCCGCTCTGGTCCGCTAGGATGTAGGGCCACTGCTCTGGGGCACCGGGCTCCGTGCCCACCTGCACCCTCCCCTGTCGCAGGCACCCGGTTCGGCACATCTCCTTTAACAGCCACAGCCTCATCACAGCCAACGTGCCCTACGAGCGGGTGATGCGCAACCCTGACCTGGACAACTTCACCACATACAGGAGGTCAGCTGGGACCCGGCACCTCCCTGCCACCTTGTCCTCTGCGGGTTGCATGCTCCAGCAGGGCCAGTCTGGGCAGAGAAAGCAGGAGACAGGAGGGCTTCAAAAAGCTCAGGAAAAATGCTATGTGTGGATTTAAAAAAAAAATAGATACCGATCGACTTCTAATTCCATTTTTCCATGAACTGTTTGAAGTGCACCTGTAGAGAGCCTGCTGTGGCCGTAGCCAGTGGTGGGCGGCTGAAGGGGACCCACCTGAGGTTAGAGTCTCAGTCTGCCCAGTGGTCAGCTGCCGAACAAGAGACTGCCATGGGTGGGCCCAGGTCATCCTCCAAATTCAGCTGGGGCCCGACATCCCTGTTACGCGGTCTGCCCCAGGGCTGCACGCACCTCTGTCCCTGGGACTCTGAGCGTCAGCTCCAAAAGCTAGGCTGCCCTCGTCCGCGGTGAGTCCTGCAGACACAGGCCCGGGTGAGGGCGGGCCCGGGGCCCTGACCTGCTGCCGTCTCCTGCTCCCCACAGGCACCGGGGCCTGATCCACGCCTACGCCTTCGCAGTGGACCAGCTGGCCTTCCAGAGCCCGCTGCCCATGTGCCGCTCGGCCTGCGGTGCCATGAACAGTTACGACTACAACCTCGCGCTGGCCTTTCCCTCGGACAACGCCTAAGGACCTGCCTCTGGGGAGAAAGTGGGCTGGACCAATTTTAGGAATTTTAAAACTCCAGAGAGCCCTGCACTGGGTGTTTTGTTGATGGTTTGAGGGAGGGCGCACCCTGAGCCCCCCTGAGAAAGCCAGGCATGCCTGGGCCTCGTTCGTGCTGTTCTCTCGCTCCTGTGCCTTGAGGGCCGTGCACCCCAGCTGAGGTCAGACTGATCCCTGGCCTGGCACACGTTCCCCCATGTGGAGCCCCTCCAAGAGCAGTGCCCACCCACATGCCACGGAACACAGGGCCCCATGTGCCTATAAGTCACCTGCCAGCACAGGGTGGTAAGGGTAGACCTGCCTTCCCCATGCACCTTTCTCCTACCCCTTAGTCTGTCCCAGCAGAACAGGACAGGGAAACACCAACCCATGCGCATGGGGGAGCGGCAGAGCGGAGGCACCCATAGGTGTGGGAGCTTTACGTCCTGAGTAGGCTGGGCTCAGTGGGTGTGCATACATCACTGCCAACAGCAAAGCCCCGAGCGCACAGGACACTGCCAGGAAGCGAAGTGACAGGTACCTGAGAACTCCAGAACAGAGCCTGGTCAGGACGATCGTGACCATGCTGTGGCTGGCTCACAGAACTGAGTCCCCACTTCAGGAAACTCCGGTGAGGTCGTGGGGTCCCGGAGCAGTGATAGTCCAGCAGATAGATAGAAACAGGCGTTAGGAAATGCTTGGAGAACGGTTTCCAAGCCCAAACCAGCTTTTCAAAGAGACAAGGCACGTGGTGCTCATAGAACACGTGCACAGGACCGCCGGGGCAAGGTCCCTCCGAGGAGGCCTGGCCTGCGGAGGGAGGGAGGACGACTTCAGTTTCCCTCCTGCAAGCAGGTGTCCCCGGCCCCTGTCGGACGCCCTCCTTCCCTAGTCTGGGGGCGGTGGGATTTCTGGGACTTGGTTCCAGACTCAAGCTGCCTCTGTATCCTGCAATACAAACTAGAGCTCGAGTTTAAAAGAAATTAGGCCCACGCCCCAAAATTAAAAGTCGCTTCCCTCTTCTGCTGCCCACTGTCAGCAGTGGGCCCCTTGGAGCCCTGCACCCCAAGAGCTGCCACCAGCCCACAGTTCTCCCTCCTCCCCGCTGCCCGGCGGGTGGCTGCAGGTTCCCAGCGTGGGGTGGTAGAAGCCTCTGCCAGCCCAGCTCCCCTCAGATATGTGCCTGGGACCACCCCAAGGCTGCAGCATCTTCTCCCCAACATCCCGGGACCTGCTTTCTACCTTGTGCATATGTGTTGGTATTAAACTTTTGGAACTTACCACTGACTTGTGTGTAAAGCTTGTCCCACTTGCCATCCTCGGGACGGCCTTGCCGGGCAGCCCGCAGTAGAGCTGCTTACCCAGAACTGCTGTCACAGGCGCTGCCAGCTACAGCCTCAGCACCCAGGGCCCTGGGAGGGAGCCGGGCAAGAGGCTGTGTTCCTGGGAGGAGGGGATGGTTAGCTTTCCTCGGAATCAGAGGGAACCCCCATTGCTGCCCCCACATAACCGTCTCAGGTGCCAGAGAAGAGTCCCCTTGCCACCAGAGAGCACTTGGCCCACAAATGGAGTTCTGGACCCTCTAATAACTGCAGAGATGGGGTCCTTCATTCCATTCCACCCAAGAACTAGGTAACCTCCCCTCTCCCCTGTTTCAAGGGCCATACAAACAGCACCAGAGAAGGGGGCAGGCCATAGGCGGGTGCAGCAGGGCCGTCCTCTTCCTCAGCCGGTGTGCATGGTGGGCAGCAGCTGTGGTGGCAGCTAGCTTACAGCGCTAGCCTGATGACCCGCGGCGCCGCGAGCCACACAGACCTGCCCACAGTGCCCATGCAGGCCAGATGGTTACCTGGCTACAGCTGCAAGCCTGCGGCGACTTGGACCAGACCTGCCTCTAATACGTGGTGGCAGATTCGCGCGTGCTGGGCTCCAGCAGGGGCCGTGTGCACACCAGCCTGCTCCTGGCCTCTGATATTGACCATGAGCTTCCAGAAGCAGCCGTTGGACCGCTGGACCGCTGCACCTTGGGGACCTCATCTCAGCCTGGGATGGGAGGGAAAGTCGCCAGCTTGTCTTCCATGTCTGTGGGCTGTGACAAGCGGAGTCTTGCTGCTGACAGCTGCAGACTGTCCTAAGGGGCACAGACATTGGCCAGCACAGTCTCCTCTCCCGCTGACTTAAAGGCCGAGCAGCCACGGCACCCGCCCTCATCTTGAGTCATGGGGTCTGTGTCAGCCACCACCAGACCCTGCTGGCACTGGTGCCTAGGACAGTGCTTACCACTCAGTTCTGCCCACTCAGCTCTCCCGGTCTTTCCCAAGGTCACTGCCACAAAGAAGGGCGCCCTCCAGGGCAGGTGTTTGCAAAAGCCTCACCAGGACAACTTGTATTTTTAACTCTCGCTCAGTATGAGCAACCCAGTGAGGTTCAGTTCTGGCCTTGTTAGCTACAGGCAGGTGGGGACAGGTCCCACGGCTCTGTGACAGGGTCAGAGCTGACTGTCCCCCTGCAGCACAGCCCAACAGACACAGAGTAACTGCCCAAGTCTGGCAGTGCTGTGTGCCCCTCCCTCATCCAGAGTTCAGGTGACCGTGGCCACAGGAGGATCCCCAGGCCGCCTGTGTCACAGCCCTGTCACCCACCAGACCAAGTGACCACGTTCGTGGCGGCAACAGCTAACCTCCCCCCGGGCAACGTGGGATCATCAGGCTGGATCCTGTGGCCGACATATTTCCCAGCAAATGGCTGCAGGGTTCAGGGTGCTGGGGAGGGGCCTCCCTGGCCTTCCTGCCAGCTGGGGGCTGCCGGTCCTGCCCGGTCTCCCACACACAGCCCACACACAGGCCTCTGAAGAATGGACTTACCAGCTTCCTTCTAACCCTGGCTGGACTGGTGACTGCCTGGGGCCTCGTAGTTTCCAGTCTCATGCTTGTCTCATCGCCACTGGCCTGCTTGAGAACACATTTCAGAACATCATCACGTGCCTTGGCCTGCTCCAGATGAGCTGCCCCGTCTGGCACGTGGCCAGCAGGCAACGCAGTGCCCCTGCCCCAGCCCTGGCCCACTGCCCAAACGGCTAGGCGGTCCTGAGCCCCAGGCCCAGGTTAGCAGTCAAGGCAGAGGCGCTGTGAGGCCCTGCAAATGCAACCTGGCCCACCTCTGCCATGGAGCTGGGTGAGGGAGCACCACACAAAACAAGCGAAACCCCTGCCAGCGGGTTGGCGCCCCCCAGTGGCCATGGGCTGCACCACAGCAATTCACTTCAATAAATGTGCAGATGAGCCATGGGCCACAGCCTCAGCAGCATCAGGCAGCCTTCAGCGGTTTGCACCGCATGGGCGGCCAGAGGCGCCTCACATCTTTATCTGTATCTGTATCCCAAGGCTTTGGTGCTGGCAAAAGGGGATTCATTTTAAGAAATAAAACAATGTAGCACATACAGTCCCAGGAAACCCAGGTCCACGGAGGCCGCACTAGCGCCCTCTGCTGTTGAGCGCTGCTGCAGTTGCCATGGGTGGCCAGGCAAGGTGAGTCCTGGAGAGCAAGCAGCCACAAATAGTGCGTCAGCCCCCGCCCTGCACTTCCCCAGACACACCAAGCCTGGCGGCCTCAGCTTGGTAGTGTGGGGAGGGCAGAGGACAAGGCCGGGCCTGGGGAGTGCACAGGACGCCGCAGCCAGGTGCTGCCAACGATGGGATGCCCACGCAATACCCTAATTTAAACCAAAGTGGGGTGACTACCTACCAAACCCGGGTGGCACGTATGCACACAGCCACTGCAGAGTTCATGGGAAGCACCAAAAAACATGTCCACTCTGGCCCGACGCGCTCTGGGGTCCCACCCGTAGCACTGCTACAATACGCATGTTCTGGGAACTTTCTGAATCATAATTTTAGGGGTTTTTTGGCCTACTTTCCATGAACTCCCTTCAGTTTCCTTCCCCCTCTCCTCCATGTCCCTGTAACTCATGTCACTGTTTTCTTCTTTAAACTTCCAGGAAACAGTCACACACCTCTCCAGGTACTGTCCACCCAGAGGCCAAGGGCACCAAGGAATCCCCGCGAAGTCTCTGGCACAGCAGTGGTCCCCTGCCTCCTGGGTCACTGCCGCCCCTGCCCAGCGTTCCCACAGCACGCTGATAACCGTGCATCCCAGCCCCACCCAGGTCCAAGCACAGGCCCTTGGTCTCTGTGCAGCATCCTGTGTGTGAAGGACTAGCCACAGGGAAGTCACACAACAGGTACACTCAGCTTTGCTTGTGGGAACATCACAGACATCTGGGCCTGAGCTCACTCTGCATGCAAAGCTGGGGCCCTGCGCATGCGCACCTGGGGAAGGAGATCTGTGCCAGGGGCATGGGCTGGGTGGGGCCTGAGACTCCAGGACCCGCCTTGTTGAACCTTTCCTGGTCTGAACCCTAGGGTACAGATATGAGTGAGGCAGATAAAGCATGTTAATTTTAAAACCTCAAGTGGCAAACTGCATCGTACAAGTGACGATGGGCCTTGCCGTTACCAAGAGAACGTCCTTGGACGGCTTGCGCAGAGAGCTGCCTCTGGGTGCAAGTCGATAAAGGAACTGACTGTACCACAAATACAAGCGCTCTGAACCACACCCTTGGACAGCTGGGGGCCACCCAGGCCACAGGTCCTCTTCGCACCACCCCAGGTTCAGAGCCACCAGAGGTGGCCCTCTGCTGACCTTGCCCTCGTCCCATCCCTCCCCACAGTGCTAGGCGGTGACAGACGCAGTGGTCAGAAATGCTTACCAGGCACTTCCAGTGGCGAGTCTCCCCGAACACAACTGCAACCCGGGGGTGCCCACCGAGTCCATGGGCAGCCAGACCCCCAAGCTCAGAGCTGGGGTGCGGAATGCCAAGACCACCGATGGAGGGCACAGGCGCCTGGGCTCCACACGTCGTCTCATCCACGCACGTCCCCGATCTTGACGGCAAGATGGCCCATGGAGAGTCCCGGGGCGGGGTGGGGGGTTCACCCTGCACCCCCCCACACAGGCAGGAGAGTGACCCCCCTTGACACCCACAGCATCTGGTGGCCTGCTCCTCACGTAAGGAGACTCCAAAAAAGTTCATGCAGATGGAAATGAAAAGTTCATTTTGGTGCAAAAAATTTCAAGAGCTATGCAATGAGGGTTATTGAATAAGTTCATGGAAAATGTGTTTAAAGGGGCACAAACTGCACACATTTCATGCTTTGTTTTGGTTCTTCACCTGAAGCCCTTTTCCCATGACCTGCTGCTTGCAGCTCCCTCCAACTGTTCTGAGCTACCAGATGCCTGGGGCACCCATGGACGGGAGGAGCCGGTGTTCCTTAACAAACCCTTTTATTATTATTATTTATTATTATTAGTAGTAGTAGTATTATCAGATAAAAACATCAGCGCCCCACATCCCCTCCCCGCCGGGGTGTGTGATGTGAGGATGTGCGTGGATTATTTTATAGGAGCATCCACTGCAGGGCACACGGGGGCCGCCCCCCAACCCGAGCACAGCTCTCCCAGGGGCCAGGGGTGCAGGCACGTCAGTGGCAGAGAGCGATGGTCTCCATGTTGAGGAAGCGGACGTGCATCTTGGTCTCGATGTCAATGCCCTGCCAGATCTGCAATCCACGGGGTGGCAGGAATCAGGGTCGCCAGGACCCTGCCCTGCACCGCCGCTGCTCCAGGCCCCCGCCCCCACGTCATGGAAACCTTCACCAGGGCCTGCAGGCTTGGGGGATTTTTGTGCAAAATACAGGACCCACTCCCCGGCCCCTGTGCATCCACCCAGTGACAGGGTCACTGCGGCCGTGCTGCCCACTTCCAGGACACAGGGTGGGGAGGGGCTCAGATGGAACCATGCTGGTGGCAGGTGTATCTGTGCACTTTGAGGACTCATCAAGCCAGGGGAGACGGCAGACGCCGGCCTGATCCTTAGAGCCTAGGGTAAGGGGTGTGTTACGCACAGACTCAGACCAGCCGTCCCAGCCATGGTGACAGCCTGGTGTGTGTTTAGGCTGAGAAATCCCATCACTGCCATGACACTATGCACTTGCCAGAGCATAGGGGCCCCTGGGGACCACAGACTAGGCGGAGGGGAGTTTGAGCAGCACCAGGAACACACCTGTCTCTCTGCTTATGTAAGGACTTGTCACCCTCAAGCTGCCACTCCAAGCATCTCCAGGGATGCCCATGGGGCTGCCACTGTCATGCTGCCCAAAGTCCCCAGGCACTGCCCAGTCCCGTGCCCCTGCCCTGGGCACTGTGAGGGATCCAGGAATAATGTCTAGTTCCTGTTGAGCTGTGGGCTAGGGTCTTGGCAACAGCCCCACATACAAGCTAAGTGTGACACCTGCTAACTGCCAATTACTGCTGTGGCGGTGGCCAAGGGTGCCAGAAGGAACCTGGGGCACGGCTTCTGGCTGGCACGGTGGGAGAAGGAAGTGGGTTCCAGAGGCGCATTCATGCCAGTGTTCAGGTTAAACCAGCGCTACCCTGCCCCAGCCTCCTCTCCCATTCCTCACCAAGTCTTCTCAGGGCTGCTTTCCTGAACCAGCAGGAGCCAGCAGGAGCAGGGGTGACACGGAACACAGGTTCCTCCACCCCGCCCCACTCCAGGCCTGTGCCTCAGGCAGCCAGGGCAGCGGTCAGGTCCCCAGGGACTAAGCTCTCAGCCCTGCTCCAGGTATAGCCCTGACAGAGCCTGGGTGCTGCCCAGCTGGCCTGAGACCTCCCTCCCTCTCCTGTTCTCCACTGTCCTTGGTATTCTGGGCCTCCGGGACCACACTACAGGACACAGCAGGTTCCACACCTCCTGGGGCCACTTGACTGCCAGGGCCATGAGGAGTGTGTGGCAAGCCCCGACACCCAGTGGCATCAAGCTCTACGCCCTAGAGCAGCGGCTGGGGCTGCACAGCCAGGGATGCCTGTGTGGGCAGCTGCTCAGAAATGACAATGCGACTCCTACACGGGGGTTCTCTGACAGATGTCCGAGTTGTCCTGGGACCCAGCATTGCACCATGTGCCCACAGCCCGAGGCCTCACACACCCCCGACACACACACAGCTCTCACTTGTTGCAAACACAGGCTTTAAAAACCACATCGCCAGGGCAAGTGAGGGGCAGGCCATGCCAACAAGGGTGTCGGCCTTGGAAGCTTCCAGAACTCCTGTCTCAACTGTGGAGCAGGACTGCCGCTGAGATGGGACCCAGGCTCCCAGGTGGGAGAGGAGTTCACCCTCTGGTAGATGCCATGGGCATGGCTGGCACTGGCACTAGTGCAGTCACTGCTGATGGGCAGCCTCAGGATAAACAGGTGAGGACAGGGTACCCTGCTCTGGTCAGGATCCAGGCTCAACCCTGGGCTGCTGGGCGCTGGGAACCGAGCCCCTGACCACTGTGGGTGATGAGCCACGTCTTCACCTTGACCCTCCAGCTCCCTGCGCCTCCCCACCCACCCACCTCCTGTACACCCACCTTGAGGAAGTCCTCAAAGGTGATTCCCTCGTACACTTGGTCGGGCTCCTGGAGAGAGAACACACAGCCAGTGAGGCCGAGGGAGGCCCCGCCACAGGTCACCCACAGCAGCACTCCCTCCCCTCCTGGGCCCCCAGGGAGAGTCCAGGGCAAACAGGCCTGGCCGAGGGCAGTCCTGAGCTGGCATGGCCCCAGGTCACGGCTAAGCCCCTGGAGGCTGATAGGAACCCTTGCAGGCCAGGCCCCAGGGAGGAGGGCCGAGTGTGAACATGAGGCCACCTTGTTTTGGCCCCAGGGCCTCTCCCAACCAGCGTGACTGCTGTGCCAGTCTCCACCTGTGCCCTTCCTGCCCTGGGGACATTACCTGGGGCCCCTCCCCTTTCCCTGCTACTCTGGATGCCTACATGACCAAGTCTTGTGACACTGCTTCCACACACCCATGGCAGTGGCTATCACGGAAGGGCAGGGCACATCCATCTCTGTGGCCCCTAGGGCAAGCTGCCACACAGCCACTTAGGACAGCTGGCACCCTTGCCAACAGGGACGAGCCTGGAGACACCTGCCACCAGACAGCCCCATGCACGCCCAGCAGGCCTGAGTGTGCATGTGTGCACAGATGTCAGCTCAAGGCCATCTTGCCAATCAGAACCACAGGCCCAGATAGTGCTGGGGCACACAAGCTTCTGGAAAATGGGATTAAAAGATAATTCCAGCATAGCCATGCTCCTAAATCCACTTTTTAAGTAATAAGCATTTTTGTGAACCTGATGAAGACTCTTCATATATGTCAATTTCAGAAACTCTGGGGGCGCATGCGTCGGGCACAGCAACTAAGGCATCACTCGGGGTGCTCAGGTCCCACCCGGGAGCAGCTGCACCAGGGCCGCAGCTCCTGCTGACACGCGTTACGAGAGGTGGCGAGGGACTGCTCCAGTGCTTAGGTCCCCCTCACCCCTGTGGCCACTTGATTGGATTCCCAGCTCCTGGCTTCAGCCTGGCCCAGCCCTGGACCGTTGTAGGCATTTGGAGAGTAAGCCAATGCGTGAGAGATCTCTCACTATCTCTGTTCTCAAAACTTGTAGGGGCCAGCGCTGAGGTGCAACAGGATAATCTACCCTGTGGTGCCAGCACCTACAGGGGCAAGTTTGTGTTCAGGCAGCTCCACTCCTGATCCAGCCCTCGGCTTGTGGCCTGGGAAAGCAGTGGAGGACGGCCCAGGTCTTTGGGCCCCTGCACTCTTGTAGGAGACCCAGAAGAAGCTCCTGGCCCCTGGCTTTGAATCAGCTCATCTCTGGCCATTGCAGCCATTTGGGGAGTGAACCAGTGAATGGAAGATCTCTCTCTCTCCATCTCCCCCTTTGCTCTGCAAATCTGCCTTTCCAATAAAAATAAATAAATCTCTGAAAAAATTAAAAGCTATGTATTTAAAAGGCAGAGTTGGAGAGGGAGAATCTTCCGTCCGTTGCTTCATTCCACCAATGACCACAATGGCCAGGGCTGGGCCAGGCCAAAGCCAGGAGCCAGGAGCTGCAGGCAGGCCTCCTGTGTGTGTGGCACTCGGGCCACTCTGCAGAGCTGGCTCAGTGGTAGGGCAGCCAGGACTCGAGCTGGCACCAGTCTGGGATGTGGCATCACAGGCCACCCAATACACCTCTTTCAGTCTGTTTTGCCACGCATGTTCTTGAAATCCCCACACCCATGTGGGTGTTGGCACCTTCAGGGAGAAGAATCTCTCAGGGCTTGGGCTGAGGACAAACAGTGGTACCAGCTGTGCGCTGCCCACCTGGTCTGGCCCCAGGATTCCACACTGCTGCTGCCCATGACACCACAGTGCCCCACGGGCTCAGACCTTGTTCCCACTCTCCCAACAAGAGGCTCCAGGGGTGCTGGGGCTGGGCTGCCATCCACATGGGCCAGGCACATGGGGGACAGCTGGGCTGCAAGTGGTGGCAGTGCAAGTGTGGGCATCAGCCATTCCAGTCGTTACACTACTGCCTCCCACAGGGCCCTGGGGACGAAATCGCTGCCCCACTTTGGAGGTCAGATCTGCCAGGTCCACAGAGGCTGCATGGTCCAAAACCTGGGCCCCCAACTGGGCACCAGGCACGCAGTTCCCTCTGTGCTTACCTTGCCCTGAGCCACTTTGCAGGGGACACCAAGGCCCCATGAGGGCAAACAACATGACTGCTGTCCCCACACTGTCATCCTCAGGACCTGTTCTGATCATGGTCCACGGCCTGGTGCAGCCCCATGGTTACTGTACGACACACCCCGGGGAATGTCGGCCCGAGTTCCCAGAGGTCTGTGGGGTCAGCAGCCGCCAGCTGCCCATTATGTCACCACAGCAAATTAACAACAACAAATAACACCACCCACTAGAGTGCAGCGGGATGGAGCCGCTTGGAGAAGCATGAGACTAAGCCAGGCAGGGACTTGGCTTGACAGCCACCCAGGAGCACCCGCCCTGGGCCACATCCCCTTGACAGCCAGTCCGCCAGCCAGGAGAGCCTGGCCTTGGCCAAGCAGCTGGCCACAGCCTCCGGGGACAGCATCCGCCCAGATGGCCCCATGTCAGTGCCTGGGAGCTGTGCTTTCCCGACAAGGGTGCGGGACACACCAGCGAGGATGGGTCTAGGCCCAGCAAAGTCCTCCATTTCCCCCTAGAGGAATGCAGCGAAGCACGGAGGACACCCTGGAGGTGGCACATCCAGGCCTCTGTCCTGTACACTACTCACCTGCTGCCCACAACCACCCGCCCCGCCCCAGCCTAAGGTGACTCCCGGCCTGACCCAACTCCCCAAGGAGGCCAGTGAGTCACTCATTAGGAAATACATAACCCCGGCCTGGGCTGGGGCTGGCTGGTCCCGCAGTCCTTGGAGGGCCGCAGGCAGGAAAGCAGGAGAGGTTTTAGGTGCTGCTCTGGGTGGGGCCCTGGTCGCAGGACACACACGTGGCCCCCAAAAACTCCCGTGAAGCACAAGTCAGTGTGGACAGCTACAGGCTGCAAGCTTGGGGTCCCTGCGACCATGTACCCCACCTCCTGGCACTCACCATCTGTCCCACGCACACGCTGGCTGCCTCCATCATGGCCCCGTCAGCAATGGAACGCGCCGACTCCTTCTCAATGTGGGGGTTTCCTGACAGCAGCTCTTCCACCACCTGCTGGGTGGGGCAGAGATGCCCAGTGACCCCCGGGGGCCTCGGTCAGGGTCACGGGGCCAGGCTGTCCAGGCAGGTGTGGAAGCATACTTTACATTTCGATACTCCTCCAGGGTGATGCGGCCGTCGCTGTCCGAGTCGTACATGTGGAAGAGGACTGGGGGGAGAACAAGGCTCGGTCAAGGGAGGAACCCAGGCCCCTGGCTTCCCTCGCTCTCAACTGTACCGAACCCAGTGAAACACGCCAGCAGGAAGCCTCAGGGCCCAAGCCCAAGCCTGCTATTCAACATCACTGGGCCTCAGCTTCCCCATCTGCAGAATGGGAGAGCAACAGCACTGGCCTGGGGTTAGGGGGGTCCCAGGGACCAGCCTGGCATGTGGTAAGGGTGGCCAGCACAACAGTGACATAAGGCCAACACAGGTTATCGCACAACACTGCTCCCCACAGGCCAGGGGTTTGGGATACTTGCACCTCAGCAGCAGAGCTGGTGGGTGGGGGTGACAGGGGGAGATGACCAGTCGGTCAGCCCCCGCATCCACTGAGAACCTAGCACCAAGTCATCCACTGCAGCACACGCACACACAGGGGTATCCCGCTAAGTCATGTGTGCGTATGCACACATGGGCACCTTAAGGCATGTGTGAAGAGCCAGGCTGAAGTACGGGCAAGTCCTCAGGGAGAAAAGCAGCCACGATGGACGCTGGCCGGCCCAGGTCACCTCGCCAGGGAGCTGTGAGGGCTCCGCCAGCAGGCCTCGAGGTGCCCTGTCGGCCCTTCAGCGTGTCCTGGGGACCACTGGTGTGTTCAGAAGCAGCACACGCACACTGTGGTTCAAGATCACATGGGACCCGGCATTGTGGCACAGTAAGATGTCGCCACTCCTGCTGCTGGCATCCCACATCTGAGTGCCAGCCCAAGTGCCAGCTCCCTGCTGCTGCTCCTGGGAAAGCAGTGAAGATGACCCAAGCCCTTTGACCCCTTGTGCCCATGTGGGAGACGCAGAAGAAATTCTGGGGTCCTCCTTTCAGCCTGGCCCATCCCTGCCAGTTGTGGTCATCTGGGGCATGACCAGTACATGGAAGATCTTGCTCTCTTTTTCTGTCACTTTCAAATAAGTTAAACTTACAAAAGAGAGGGGGTGGGTGTCCCAGGACCACTAGGATGAGAGACAAACTGGGCACCCAGGTCTACTAGAGCCCATCACCCCACCGTCCCCTACTCGTCCCAGAAGGCCAAGAGCTGCTGACATGTTACTTAGCAACGAAGAGCACCAGGACCACCTTTCTGGGGACTGGCCGCCAAGGGTCCCAGCCAGTGTTCCGGGTCTCTCCCCTTGCTGTGCGGGCAGGCCCTGCATTCTGAGGCCTTGGGCACCCATAGCCTGTGTGGGGCTGGGGGCTCAGAGGCCAAGGGGCCCGGGCTAGGGGGCACGCACATCTCAACTTCTCTTTGCGGCTCAGCTCCACCTGCTCCTCGCCCAGGCTGGTGTCAATAGGCCGGAAGTAGGACATGATGGTCAGGAAGTCCTCGAAGTTGATCTCATCAGCCAGGCCGCTGGGCCCCTTGCGCAGGTTCCTGCAGAAGCAATGGGGTGGGGGGTCACCTGGTCCTGGGTCTTGTCCTTCCCTGACGGAAGCTTCACCCACAGCGGCCCACCACACCGGGGCCCCTGCTCACCGAGCACCTGCTCTGCCCAGGTACTAAGGACTCGGGAGGTGTGAAGCCCAGTCCCCACCCTGCCTACCCATCCAGGGCTCTAGCAGATGCCTCACATGTGCGGAAACTGAGGCACCGAGCAGTGGCTCCCAGAGGGCACACTCAGGCGCTTTCCTGCAGCGCATGGAGCTTCACGCACCACGGGTTCAAGGTACAGCCTGAGCTGGGGGTTGTGGCGGCACTGGGGAAGGTCTCACCCCGCGGGCGGAAGGAAACACCTGAGGACTTTGCAGCAAGCCAGGGCACAAGAAGTTCCAGGTACAGACCCAGAGCCCTGGCTTCGGGCGAGCGGGCGGCAACCTCCCACCCCCACACGGGGTTGACTGCCCTCGTGCGGCCCTGCTGATCATAAGCAGAGGGAGCGGCCGCCACACGTGCAGCAGAAGTGCCAAGCGAGCCCCTGGGGAGATCCCAGAGGAGGGGAGGGCGGGCCTGGGGCTGGCTCCAACTGCAGCCTTTCCACAGGGAGGGGAGGCAGGGCCTGGGTTCCAGGCTGCCCATGCAGTACTGGAGCAGCCCCGGGACAGGTACAGTGCCCGGTGCACAGCGGAGGGGCTAGTAAACACTGACAAAGGGCCCCCCTACTGGGGAGAATGGCTGAAAAATAACCCCACCAGTCAGGGGGAGGAGGGCCATAGCAAGCACTGGGGCAAGCCCTTATCGCTCCCTGGCTTCAACCACAGCCCAGCGGGCAGAGGGCACAGGTGGTCACCTCGCATCCAGTCATGGCAGATTTCTCCAGGCGCCCTGGATGGCCAGGCCACAACAGCTGCGCCAGCACAGTGCAGGGGCTGACGGCTGCACACGTTTAAAGAAACATATTCACCATCTTCGGAGGAGGCCCCTCCACTGTCTCTGGCACTAAAAGATCTCATTGCACTTCACATCTGACAGGCTGTTCCATGTCAAGGAACTTTCTAGAAAGCAGCGACTCCCACATACTACCACAGCAGGGAGCTGATATCTCTACCAGGCCTGCGGCACTGATCCGTCTCCCTTGAGCTGCCAACTGTCTAAGGGTCCTGCCATCTGCTCTTCCCAGTGCGTTTGAATCGTCAATCCCCCAGAGCTCCTTGTTCCTGGCCCCCATGTCCTTTCTGGGCAGGTCAGGCTGAGAGGGAGTCATGGAGTCTGCAAAAAGCTGGGACAGCCCGGAGCCCAGGAAGTGCAGACCAAGTCACTGGAGCCAGCTTTACCTGCCCTCCACTCACACGCCTCAACTGGGCACCCAGGACCAGGCAGTAATCTTAAGGCCCTGCCCCATCCCTGAAGAATCTTGGGAACCAAGGATGAGGCTAGAAAGTCCCACTTGTGGCTGCTCCTACAACTCCATCCCCTTGGGAGTGACAGGTGCCTCCCCTCTCTGTAGGGGGGCTCTCCAGAGCCTAGAGGGGAGGCATGGCAACCCCTCCCCTGCCCACAGTGGCCCACTGGGCCTGAGAGGTCTCCAGACACCTTCCAAGAGTGGCTCCAGGTAGTGCGAGCCAAGGCACCCCCAGCCCTAGACCTGGGAGTCCCCACCAGTCTCCCCACCCTGTCCCTGCCTTGTTGCATGTGTCCATTCTGACTGGGTCCTTGCAGCTGCCAGGAGCAGCCCCCACCACCCCAGGCCCTCCCCCTGCAGCACAGATGAACTTTGCAAGATGCAAATCAGAGCCTGGAAATGCCTCCCTAGGCCCCTGGCTCTCAGGAAGTGACTTCCAGCTACCACCTGCTCTCCAAGCCCCCTCGGTAGCCCAGCCCAGCCCAGCCCTCCCACCCACCTGCTCTCCTGCCCCTGCCCCACCTGGAGTCTCTCTGGCTCTGCCCACACAGCACCCTGACACCTGAGCGCCATGCAGCCACCCTGCCCAGCCTCACCCTCTCACGGAAAGGCCAATGCCTCCCAATGTCCAACCCTAAGCCCTCTAGCCAGAAGTGTCAGCTCCATCTGCTTCCTGCCCCCCATCCCTAAGCCCTCTGAGGAGGTGTCTCACACAGATAATAGCCCCTAGGAACTTGGAGCAGGGCCAAGCTGCCATCCTGGCTCCCTTCTTTTTAAGGAATCATGTGCAGTACAACACGCAGCTTATGTCTGCGCAGGCGCACACACCCTGGGCCTTTGCTCACACAACTCCCAACGCAAAGCCACAAGCACCTTGTCAGCCTCCCGATGACCAAGTCCTTCAATGTAAACACCAGGCCATGGTCTGCATTTCAGCCTAGGCCACTGGGCATGTGAGCGCCCACTCAAACCTTCACATGGCCCCTGCATGGCAAGTCCCCGAGGCAAGAGCTGAGGCAGCCACCAAAAGGCACCTCTCCCTGCCCCATCGGTCAGCAACCATGCCTGTGTTGTTTCCTCTTTAAAGCACGGGGTGGAACAGGCTGCGACTTTCAAGGCTGGTCTCTGACATGAGGCACTGGTTCCAGTTCTGGCTGCTTCACTACCAATCCAGCTCCTGCTCATGCACCTGGGAAAGCAGCCGAGGATGGCCAAGTCCCTGGGCTCCTGTACCCACGGGGAGACCCCAATGAAGCTCCTGACTCCTGGCTTCAAATCCATCCTCCCACAGGTCTGGCTGCTGCAGTCATTTTGAGAGTCAAGCAGTGGGTCGAAGATTTCTCTCTTAAAATTTCTTTTCTCTCAACAAATTTTGAAAGAGGAAGTATGGGGTGACCCAATACTTGCCTCTAATGAGGCGCCTGAGCGAAGGTTACAGGATGTTACTTCTGGTGGTGGGTCACAAAGACAGGGTGGCACTGGGAATGGTGTCAAGATGCCATGTGGAACATCCCTGTCCCAGCTCGGAGAGCCTGAGGTCAAGTCCCAGTTGCATGGTTTTTACTTATTTTACTTGGAAGTTAGCATTACAGACAGAAGAGAATAGATGGAGAGGGGTTCCATCCATTGGTTCACTCCCCAAATGGCTGCAACGCCTGATCCAAAGTCAGGAGTCAGCAGCTTCTTCCAGATCTCCCACGTGGGTGGGGGGCCCAAGGCTGTGGGCCGTCCTCCACTGCCTTCCCAGGCCACAAGCAGGGAGCTGGATCAGAAATGGAACAGTCGAGACTCCAACTGGCACCGAAGGCAGAAGCTCAGCCTGGTTCCTCAGCTGTGTGTGCTTCCAGCCTGCTGCAGTCACACACCCCGGGAGAGGGCAGTGATGGCTGCAGGGCTGAGCCGCTGCCACCCACGTAGAAGCGCTGGATGGCCCTTCAGCCCGGCCCAGCGGGGCTGCTGCGGGCACCAGTGGATCAGAGCTCTGTCTGCTTTTCACGTAAACTTCTTCTAAAAAGATGGTGGCTTCCACACTTGAGGATGTGGAGAGGCTTGGGAGATGCTTGGCCGGCAGCCACAGCAGCAGCGAGCCCAAAAGCCGAGAACCCACCCCCTCAGGACCCCGCCCGAGGTGCCACCTGGAGCCTGGGAGGTGGAACCGACTGTCCCACATGCCTCAGCTGGGGACCCCACCACCGCCTCCCCACTGCCAGGGCCTCTCTCCACCCCAGCGGGCAGGACAGGGCCTCGCACTGAAGGACAAGGCAGCCTGCCTCTGGGCCAGCCCACCTGTTGTCGAAGAAGGCACGTACGATCTTGGAGCGGATGGGGTTGAGTTCCAGGTCGGGGACGCTGTTAAAGTTCTCCTTGCTGGTTTGCAAGCGGCAAATGGCACCGGAAAGAGAGCGACAGAAAACATGGGCGTCTGTGGGCGATCCTACCAGGAAGCAAGCCACCCTCCACAATTTCCCACGATGGCGGCTCAGGGTGACCCACAAGTACCCCTCCTTGCCTCTCGAGCCTGCGCAGGGGCAGGGCAGGGCCTGGAGGCAAATGAGAAGACCACAGTCGTGTGCCCAGGGGCCTCAGAAGGGAGCTGGTGGGAAAGGAAATTCACCCAGCAGCCTGGGTGACGGCAGAACTTCCTCTGAAAACACGAGGCCGAGTAACAGAAACCAGATGCAAGTGGACACACGTTCATGGAAAATGCCCAGAATAGCCGGGTCCATGAGGACAGAAAGGAGGTGAGCAGCTGTCATGTGAAAGGGGAAATGTGCAGGACCGGGTGTCTCTCTCAACTGGTCTGCCCAGTGGCCAAGGCGCCCACTACCACGGCCATGTCTGTGTCAGAGCATCCAGGTGCACGCCCCAGCTCCAATTCTGAGATGCAGACCCCAGGAGGCAGCTCTTCCAGGAGCTGGGTCCTTTCGCGCACACAGGAGACCTGTATGGAGTCCCAGGCTGCCACTGTGGGCCTCAGGAGAGCGAGCCAGCGGATGGCTGCTCTCAGTTTGCTGCCTGGGGACACCCATATCTCCTATTATGATACCTGCCTTGAGTCTGGCCCCTCCACTTCTGACCCGGTTTCCTTCTGCTCATGGGGTGGCACCAGATGATGGATGAAGGCTCGAGTGCTTGGGTCCCTGCCCTACTTACAGGGGACCCAGGTGGAGTTGTGGCCTGGCCCTGGCCCAGTGGCTGTAAGCTCTGGCCTGAAGCTATAAATGGATGCTCTCTCCATCCCTGTAGCTCTCTGCCACTTAGATTTTATCAGTATTATTTGTTTCAAAGCTGTGCACCTGGGGTGGGGAAGGTACACCTCTGTCAGGATGGCCTGTGACCAGCCTGGGCCTTGGAGCCATGGGAAGGCAGGCATGGAGGCAAGGGTGGCCCCTGCCAGGGTCACAGGTCCATACTTCCCACACCAGGTGGGCAGCCCTGCGCTCTCAGGATCTACTCCCTGCTCACTTCTGCCTTGCACTGCGCTCTGGCGGCTACAGGCAGGTGGAAGGGACCCAATGCACAGGCCAGCATCCTCTAGGGGACCAGAGGCCAGGTTGGGGGAGTTCCAGGGAGAAGTCTGGAACGACAAGATGGACACTTGCCAGAACTGGGACTCAGAACTCCAAGGAGCAGGTGTCTGGGGGAGGAGGTAATATCCCCACCCTGATCCCGAGGGCCCATCACTGAGCTGGAAGGTTCCCTAGAAATACGACTCAGCACCCACTGTACGGACTGGGGGGACCTGGAGGGGCGTCAGCGAGGCCTAGGCTGCTCAGTATCCCCTCCACTCCTGGGCGTCCTCCTGTACCTCTCCATCAGACCTTCCAGCTGGGCTCAAACAACATGTTGCCAAGTTCAGGGGCTGGCATCGCAGCACACTCACCTTCTGAATTCACAAGGGCCCAATTCCAGAGATGGACGTGTACTTGGGACAGGTGACCCAGAGGGAAGGGGAGTGATGTGTGATGTGTGAGAAAGAATAAAGTGCCAACCCCCATGTCACCACCAGGAACTTCAGAAACTTGGCACTGGCAAGGAGCCAAACCCAGACTGCATGGCACCTGTGCCATGCATATGACATACTCAGCCACAACGGCCAATCCGCTGTGCTGGGGCAGACGGCTGCTCAGCAGGGCTGCAGAAACAACCGCATACCTCAAATGCAAAACTTCAGCACTGTTTAATATGTGAATGCTATCTCAGTCAAGTGGTTAAATATTTTCCCTGGGGCCACAGTTATGGCATAGCTAGTTAAGTGACTTTTACCTGTGACACCAGCAGCACTGATTTGAGTCCTATCTGTCCTGCTTTCAATTCAGCTCCCTGCTTATGCTCCTGAAAGGGCAGCAGAAGATGGCCCAAGTGCTTGGGCCCCTGCATCCATGTGGGAGACCCAGATGGGGTTCGAGGCTCCTGGCTCCAGCCTGGTCCAGCTCTTGTTGTGACTGCTGGGGAAGTGAACCAGCAGATAGATGGTCTACCTTTCAAACTCATAAGATAAATCCTCGTGTCCCTAAAGCCTAAAACAAGAAGAACCAGTGTACCAGGGCAGACACTGGCACAGCAGCTGAGATGCCACTCAACATGTCCCCAGCCCATTCTGAAAAGCCTGGGTACCAGTCCCAACTCCACTTCTACCTTGCTTCCTGCTCATGTACACCTTGAAGCAACAGGTGATGGCGCCAGTAGGAGGGTCCCTACCATCCACATGGCAAACCCAGGGTGAGTGCCAGGGCCCCGGCCTCTTCCCAGCCCAGCCCTGGCTGCTCTAGATAACTGGGAGAGTGAACCAGCAAGATCCCTGTCTCAATTGCTCTCTGCCTAAATAAAAAAATAAAAATGGGTAAAAATTTTAGCACAAGAACCACTACATGAAGGGTCCATCACGCACCCCTGCAACCTGAAGCCCAGGTGATGTGTAACTCCCTTGAGGTTACACAAGGTTACATGCCTGGAGAGATCAGGGTGTGGGCTGCTCCTCGCCCCCTGCCACGTGACAGACCCTGTGCGTGACATGTGTAAGGCATGATCAGCCCCCGCCATGCTGGAACAGCACATGTGGCTCCTTCTCCTGGGACTGCGAGGAGGGGAGACGGAGAACAGAGGCCCGAGTCAGGGTCCCCAGAGTCTACACAGTGGCCAGTGGATGACGGCAACCCACTGTACAAACAACTCGCCATGGGACTCCACGCACACGCCTATCCGACTGCCAGTATGGCAGAGCCGGCACCAAGAGGCCTACCAGCCCCACCAGCCAGGGTGTAGGCATGATGGACAGGAGCCCAGAGCTCCATGCTACTACCCCAACACCACACCACTACACTCGCCACAGCTCCATCCCCAGTGGGGGAAGGGTCCAGGCACCTGGACGGAGCGACTTTCGGAGAAGGGAAGTGGCCAGCTGCCACTGTGACTGGTACATGAGACTCCAAACCCTCCATGGCTATCATAGGCTGGGTGTCGTGGCTCCTGCTAACCTTTCTCAGCCTCAGTTTTCTCACCTGTGAAGTGGGCACAGCCACTCATCAGCTCTAGGCTGCTCTAAGACCCAAGACAGGGGACTCTGCCCCTCTGGAGGGAGGAAGCAGCGCTGGGGTGCACCCAGGGCAGAAATTCTGGAACATGCTTAGCATACGCTCAGCCCAGTGCTCACGGAGCAGCAAGGGCTCCACATACGGTTGCCTTCAGGCCGTGGCCCAGTGCCTGGACTTACCCAACACCACACATACACCTGCGAGGCAGAGGAGCTCAGGGATGGTTTGCGGAGCGACAGGTTGAGTTGACAGGAGTCAGAGGAGTAAGGGCTAGGCCCTCCCCTGGGGCCCGGCATCCTGGGACTTATCAGCAGCGGCGACATTTCCAGAGGGAGAAGGCAGAGCCCGGGTCAACCCGACAACTGGCACAAGAGGCCTGGCTTCCCATGGTGGTGACAGGCAGACAGCTGCCTGCCGGGAACACAGTGTCCCCAGTCCCGTGTGTGTGCAGGTGCTTGGAAGCCGGCTGTCTGTCAAAAGTCACTTCTTTCCCTTTGAGAAACACACACACACACACACACACACACACACACACACACACACACACACACACACACACACACACAGAGCAAACACGTAGGAGGGAGACACAGATCTGTCTGCGAGATGTGGGTAGATGGGGCGGCCCTCGGAGGCTCCTGGAGACCCAAGACCATGCACATGAGCTGGGAGGGGTGAGGCAGCTGGGTCTCCTGGTTAGGGACGTGACCCTACACACATTTCTAAGGTGATAAAGCCCTGGGGAGGGCATTTGTGAATAGGAGCTATCTTTGTATCTCAGATAAGTCTGATAAACCCAGGCAAAGTGCCTGGCACATCCCACAATGAGCTCCGAATCCAACAATAGTGTTAGCAGTAAGCAGGCAGGCAGCACTGACGCTGGTGGGACAGGTCCAGCCCCAGGAGCTGAGCTTCCTGCAGGCTCAGGGCAGGGGAGGGGAGGAGGACAGAGCTTGGTGTCATGACGTGGAGCGGACACCAGCCCTGTATGACAGGACTTAACCCTGTCTCGGAGACCCAGGCAGAGAGGGGAAGCGACTTCCTGCTGCCAAGTACGACCTGGAATGGAGCGGCAGCAGCCGGCCGAAGAGCAGCTGCCCGGACCATCCTCAGGGCCGTCCCTGCCACCTGCCACCCTCCCTTTCAACAAGGGGGAAGCCAGCCTGGAGCTAAGCCAGGGACAAACCACACACAGCTTCCCCAGTTTCAAGTGCAAGCGGTGGCTCTTAAAGGTCCCTCCCAGTCCCCTGCTCCCAGGTACTCGGAGGTGCTGGCTCTGGCTCTGCTCAGGGCTGAAAGGGGGTGAGTGGGAAAGAGAGTGGAGGCAGGGAAGAGGGGAAGAGAGAAGGGGAATGAGCTGTGCTTCATACTGCAGCCCAGTGTGGAGGGCTGGGCATGGTACCAGGTTCCTGTCCTAGCACCCACAAGGACACAGCCCCTCACGGAGTCCTGGGAGGTTTAGAAACTGCCCTTGCTGTGGTCTGGCCTCGGACTCCTTTCCTTGGCCCCCGAAGTCTTCTGCCAGTGGCTCCAAGGGGCCCACCAGTCCATCACAATGTCTGGGGCGGGGCCTGGATCAAAGGATGCCATCAAGGGGCAGCCCCCTCGAGCCACTCCTGGCAGCACAGACGTGTGGCTCCCATCTCTCACCTAGGATGCCCCTTGCCACCCCAGAGCCTCTGCTAGCAAGCTCTCCTCCCCCCAATCCCCAGAGGCCAAACCACGGGGTCCCCACCTGACCTGGGCCATGACCCACCAGAACTGGCAGTCACAGCGAACCTTTTCTTGCAGCTGGTGGTTTGGGTACACCAGCAAGGAGGGTCAGCCTCTCAC